TCCGTTCATTTCCCGAACTGCCGGGACAACCATACTGAGAGTGGGGATTCGTGTAAATATGTAGCCGACACCCGCTCCATGAGTTCTATGTCGAGGTCCAGCTGTCCATTGATCAGCCTTAAAACATGGCCGCCATAAGGAGTTCGTGACAAAAGTACAGAATAAGACTTTATATGGCAGAAACCCTCTGTTCTGTTTGTGGGATCTGGGCACAATTCGTACACCTGATGCGCCCAGATCTGAGCAACCGAATGAATAGTTGAATGAACTATATTCCCATTAATATATTAAAGGTATGTATTTTTATGCTGTTTTCTAGGACAAAATAAAGCATGGTCTTTTAGGCGCTTGGAGATAATTAGATTGTATAACCGTTGGACTCATTATCTCCAAGCTGGGCGGGTACTAGTTTGAATGATACAGTGTAATATGATTGGTTGAATCCTCGTATTGTACCTGTATCCCATCAGGTCCAGAGGGGGCTGTCCCTGGACCTGGGGACTTGCAGAAATTGCCATGCCTGTGTGCCATTAAAGCCAGTTCGTTTTAACCTCAACTCGCAGCCTCGACTCGTGTTGTAGGGAACCGGGAATCCTAGCTTTATTATAGCTAGCGGGATATTCTACACTTACAGGTCTCTACTGATTGAAGCACCGTTCGACCCTCCGACTTCGGGAACCAGGACATCTAAGCGATCCAACCTCCTGCTAGACCGGAGGCAATCGTAACAGTCTTGCGGGCCCCCCCTCCTCCAGTAGGCTGCCTGTCTGGGGAGGCCCACTGTCTTATAAAGGGTCCCATGGGCTCCTCTCTGTGGCTCCCATCCTCCCCACTTCCCATAAGTGGCCCACAGCCTGACCCCCTGCACTTGCCTGCTCCTGTGATGTGCACTGCCGGCTAGGTGTGGCCCTGGAGCAGGCCTGACCTCCATGTACTGTGCTCTTGGTGGGACCCACCCTCCCGGCCTGTGGCCCTGTCACTTACCCAGCTCCTGAGGGCTTGTTGCCGACCGCAGCGCCCCCTGCTCCAAGCGAGACCCCTTCCTGCATGGGGACCACACAGACGGACTTCCGGGCAGCCGCCTGCTGCATCAGATCCCCACGTGGCAATGTTGGCCTGCCGGGAGGCGGAGCCTCAACCATGCGGCACCCGCGCCTGCCTCCCATACTCACGGCCTGCTCCGGCCACCTCGTGATACTCCCGTTCACGTGCACCCGAGCCCTGGCCCAGGCTCAGCTGACGTAGGAGCCTCCTGGCCTGTGCCAGACACCTCCAGCCGCTGCCATTTTGAGCCACCGCTGCAACCAGCATGGAATTGAGCTGGGCCCGCATCTAGTCGGCCCCACGATCTCTCGCCGCCGTCCTGATGCCCAGCATCCTCTCCACCTCGTCCATCCTGCAGCAAAACACAAAAGAGAGACACCTACGAGGCCCAATAAGTGCACACACAAGGTGCACACAAACTCAGCTAGGTAGGCAAGTTAAAAGTGAATTTTCTAAGATAGTTGCCTATTGATATAGCCCAGCCCCTAAACCTCTAAACCACCAATCCATACATAGCTTCCTCCTAATGCCCACTTCCTAGCCCTGTCAAGGCCCCTTTCCACGATGCTGTGCTTTTGCTACATAGGGGCTACATTCCTGATGTAACTATTTTTTATTTACAGAAGACATAATTCAGCTTCCATTCTGTGTTTGATGCTGTTGATGTCTGATGAAGTACCGTTTTTTCTAGGACCAGTGGCTAATTTTACTATACGTCTGCAGTAAATGTGTTATTGGGCAACTATCTCCTTTTTTCATATATTTCCAGTGCTGAACTGGTACACGTCTACGTGTTGTCCATCACATTGGATTTACTATTTATTTATTGGAATTGTTCTTCCTAGGATGTGAGGAAGGCAGGCTCAGTTTCTGGGTCACTGGTTGCTTTTTTGGGGAGTATTAATTAATGGTCCTTTATATTCTTTCAGTGAATCCTAATTGGTTGTGAGTGCATGTTTACCTCTCTGAGTCAGTGAAACTGTTAGGAATTTGGAGTCCTATCTCCGTCCTCTGGCCTGCCCAAGACGTTGTACAGTATATTTCATTTCAGCTGACAGTTCCATGGACAGTGTGTACATGCCCTGAAACTCTCGTCCTGCAGCATATGGGACAAATTACACAGACACGCCGTTTTCGGCGCTGAGCTCTGCTTTAGTTGGCAATGCTAGATCTTCCCCAGATGTTTTGGTAGAAACCCAGCTCTTTCTGAGCCACAGATTTTGATGCTGTCCCAGCGACTCCTAATCTTTTACTTATTTCTGCAGATAGAAAATTGAATTAGGATCCCGAAGTGGAAACCACAAAAAAAGTGAATTGTGCTTGAAAGACACCTGCCTGTGAATGCCAGAGTAGAGATTAGTGGTAATGTGCCTCGAGGAGTAAACTATGACAAATCAGAATCTAGGCTGAGGTGCACAGCTGTGATGGGCTGGAAGTGACATCACGATGATATCATGCTTTCCAGCCTATGGTGCACAAACTTCAATGCCACTTTTAGACATGGGGAATGACAGCCAGGCGATCCCCACCCTTCCACGCTTGCCAAAAAGCAAAAGGTTTCCCAGAATAACATTGTTTCGAAGTTCTGTAAAACATACAACTGTATAATTTCGAAGCAAATTTACCACGTTTCAGCAAACAACTTAAAACTGGCCTGTGATTGGCTCCCAATGTCCCTTAACGTCTGGGTGCACTTGGGGACCTTGTGACTTAGAGTAAACGACCCTTTAAAATATTTACGAATGTATTATCGGCCAGTGAGCTCTTTTCCAACTGGGATCTAGATTCATCCGTCCTGCCATTTTGGCTCACTCCGATTCCGAACTGCATGATATCTGGGCGACTAAACTCAAATTAAATTCTAAAGCCATCCAGTTAGTCCTTGCAAGCAGCAATAGGAAAAATGCATTTAATATAAAATGAATTCAGATTTTATCGAAATGTGTTTTTTTCACAGAGGCTTTAAGAAGTATGGATTTTTCCAGAGCATTTCAAAAGGGGTCATGTAACGATCACACAGCGCGGTTCCAACTCTCTCTCCTCTGTGAATCTTTGCCAAAAAATGTGCTTGTGTCAAAAGAGTATTCTATAAGAGAGTGTTTTATTAGCGAGGATTGTTAGAAGCAAAATGTCCTGTTTAAGCAACAGGTTGTAAATCAGCATCATAAACCAAATACATAACAGACTATCACTTATAACCAGTATTGTCTGTTATGAGTGAAACACTTAATACAGGGGTTTCATGGGGGATTATTGCAGCTCCGAATATTAACCTCAAACCTGCCAGAAGGACCTCGATCCACCCCCCCACACCATTATCATCCCATAATGCATTGCGAAGCTATGGTGCTGTGAGATTATAGGTGCTTCTCCCGTGTTTTCTGTGAAATAATTTTAGAAGTTAGGCAAAACTAATCTATCTGTGGCACCCAGTGCTCTCCTCTCTGGTGCTCCCATTGCTCTCCTCTCCATGGCTCCCATTGCTCTCCTCTCCGTGGCTCCCAGTGCTCTCCTCTCTGTGGCTCCCAGTGCTCTCTCCGTGGCTCCCAGTGCTCTCCTCTCCATGGCTTCCAGTGCTCTCCTCTCTGTGGCTCCGAGTGTCCTCCTCTCTGTGGCACCCAGTGCTCTCCTCTCCGTGGCTCCCAGTGTCCTCCTCTCTGTGGCACCCAGTGCTCTCCTCTCTGTGGCTCCCAGTGTCCTCCTCTCTGTGGCTCCCAGTGCTCTCCTCTCTGTGGCTCCCAGTGCTCTCCTCTCTGTGGCTCCCAGTGTTCTCCTCTCTGTGGCTCCCAGTGTCCTCCTCTCTGTGGCTCCCAGTGCTCTCCTCTCTGTGGCTCCCAGTGCTCTCCCTTGTGGCTCCCAGTGCTCTCCTCTCTGTGGCTCCCAGTGTCCTCCTCTCCGTGGCTCCCAGTGCTCTCCTCTCCGTGGCTCCCAGTGTCCCTCTCTGTGGCTCCCAGTGCTCTCCTCTCCGTGACTCCCAGTGCTCTCCTCTCTGTGGCTCCCAGTGCTCTCCTCTCCGTGGCTCCCAGTGCTCTCCTCTCCATGGCTCCCAGTGTCCTCCTCTCTGTGGCTCCCAGTGCTCTCCTCTCTGTGGCTCCCAGTGTCCTCCTCTCTGTGGCTCCCAGTGCTCTCCTTTCTGTGGCTCCCAGTGCTCTCCTCTCTGTGGCTCCCAGTGTTCTCCTCTCTGTGGCTCCCAGTGTCCTCCTCTCTGTGGCTCCCAGTGCTCTCCTCTCTGTGGCTCCCAGTGTTCTCCTCTCTGTGGCTCCCAGTGCTCTCCTCTCTGTGGCTCCCAGTGCTCTCCTCTCTGTGACTCCCAGTGCTCTCCTCTCTGTGACTCCCAGTGCTCTCCTCTCTGTGGCTCCCAGTGTTCTCCTCTCCATGGCTCCCAGTGCTCTCCTCTCCGTGACTCCCAGTGCTCTCCTCTCCGTGGTTCCAAGTGCTCTACTCTCTGTGGCTCCCAGTGTCCTCCTCTCTGTGGGCCCTAGTGCTCTCCTCTCCGTGGCCCCCAGCGTCCTCCTCTGCAATTTTTATTTCTTCATTATAAAGTGCGTATCCATTATCATGTTGGATTCCAAATGTAGCTCAGAAGTGTAAGAGGCATGTTATCTGGGGGTAAGTAACCAAAGGGGGGGGAGGGGGCATTGTCCCATCACTATCACTGAACAAAGCTATATAAATATTTAATTGACACCTAGGAATGTCTGAGTCCCAGTATCATAACAATTACAGTGAGGTGTAATAATACTACATGTAACAATGCAATAAACTGTAATAATACAATGAGCTGTAATAAAATAATGTGCTGTAATAATACAATGAGCTGTAATAATATATTAAGATGTAACAATACAATAAGCTACAATAATACAATGAGCTGTAATAAAAGAATGTGCTGTAATAATACAGTGAGATGCAGGGGCGTACCTAGAGCATTTGGCACCCGGGGCGGATCCTGTGCTTAGTGTTTCTTTAATGTGAGGTAAAATAGAGCTTAGTGCCACGAATAATATACTAGATTGCCTACTTACAACCAGATGAGGATGATGATGGGCTCTAGCTGCAGTCTGGCTCCACTGTCTGGTGCAGAACAGGCTCTCTGGAGGCGGTTTGTAACTGTGGTCACAAAAATGTTCTGGGAGAACTGGAAGCAGCTCCATTTTTGGGGGTTCTTTACACAGCTCAAGGTCTGGGTCCCAGGGTCCACCTTCATGTTCCACCAATGAGTTTGTTCACAGGGGGTGGAGTGTGTAGGGGATGTCCTGATATGTGTGTAAGGAATGTATTGTGTGAAATTGTGTTTGTATGTGTAAGGGCTGCAAGGTGTGTTTCTGTGTATGTATGGGATGCATTGAATGTGTGTAAGGGGTGTATTGAGTGTGTGTAATGAATGCATTGTGTGTTTCTGTGTGTGTAAGGGATGCATTGTGTGTAACGGTTGCATTGCTTGTGTATGTGTGTCTGTGTGTTTTTCTGTGTGCAAGGGGTGCATTGTGTGTATGTGATGAATGTCAATCTCTCCTCCCGCTCCAATTTCCTTCTCCTCCTCCCAATTTCTCTCTCACCCACCTCCTAATTTCTCTCTCACCCCCCTCCTTTCTTTCTCATCCCCCCTTTATTTCTCTTTCTCACCCCCCCTTATTTCTCTTTCTCATCCTCCCCTTATTTCTTTCTCACCCCTTATTTCTCTTCTCACCCCCTATTTCTCTTTTCTCACCCCTCTATTTCTCTTTTCTCTCACCCCCCTTATTTCTCACCCCCTATTTCTTTCTCACCCCCTTATTTCTCTTTTTCTCACCCCTCTATTTCTTCTTTTCTCACCCCCCTTATTTCTTTTTCACCCCCTATTTCTTTCTCACCCTATTTCTTTCACCCCTTATTTCTCTTTCTCACCCCTTATTCTTTCTCACCCCCCTTATTTTTTCTCACCCCTCTCACCCCCTTATTTCTTTTCTCACCCCTATTTCTTTCTCACCCCTCTCTTACCCCCATTTCTCTTCCACCCCCTCTCCTTTCTTTTCTCCCGCTTCCCTCCTACCTCCCTGTATGCGGCCGGGTCCCAGAACCGGCCAGGGAGTTTGTTTTGTACTGCCGGACTCAACAGGAAGTGAACACTCAGTGTGTATCTTCCCCAAAGAACCGCCGGAAAGCAGGAGACAGCGCTGCCTCTGTACCCGCTGACCATGCTGTAGTGAGGAGCTGACAGGAGCGCCCTCCCGTCAGACCCTCCTCAGGCTGCAGCCATGCGCGGTCCGGCCTCATGGACGACCGCCAGTAAAGCTGCAGTCAGCTTCGAGGCTCTCTGCAGAGCGCCGGGCGGCTGCAGCATGGGGGCGGCGGGGCTGGTCATGGCACCCCCCCACCCGGCTGGCACCCGGGGCGGACCGCCCCCCCCGCCCCCCCCTTAGTACGCCACTGCTGAGATGTAATATATTGAGATGTAATAATACAATAAACTGTAATAATGTTATAAGCTGTAATAATACAATGGGTTGTATAAATACAATGAGCTGTAATGATGCTACAAGTTGTAACAATACAATAAGCTGTAATAATATAGTGAGCTGTAACAATACAATGAGCTGTGATAATGCAATGAGCTGTAGTAATGGAATAATCTGTAATAATACAATAAACTGCAATAATACACAGAACTGTAATAATATAATTATGCTGTAATAATACCGTTAGCTGTAATCATACAATGAGCTATAATAATACCGTAAGCTGTAATAACACACAATAAACTCTGACCATACAATATGATATATTTAACATTTTGTTTTTGTAATAATTTGCCTCATTTGCTGTTAAAGCCATATTTTAAGATTGTAAAGCGAGCAGAATACATTGACATATAAATACCAGTAATCATAATAATAATAGCACAGTAAAGTGTAATGATATAATAAACTGTAATATTACAATAAGCTGTAATAATACGATAAGCTGTAATAATACAATCAACTATAGTACAATAAGCCATGTTATAGTTGACTAACTGCACACCAAGCTGTAATAGTACAATAAGCTTTCATAATACAATATAAAATTAAATACAATAAGCTGTAATAATAAAGTAAGCTGCTATAATACAATAAGCTGCAATAATACAATGAGCTGTAATAGTCCAATAAGCTGTAATAATACAATAAGCTGTAATAATATAATACGCTGTTATAATACAATAAGATGTAATAATACAATACGCTGTAGTAATACAATAAGCTGTAATAATACAATAAGCTGTAATAATATAATAAGCTCCCTCTTTTTCGGGATCTGTCCTGCTTTCCCGACTTGGTTCTCTGGTGTCCCTCTTTTGGTCTCAGGCACTAACCCGGCCACTCTAAGGACCGGTACGTGTATCTTTACTGTTACCTTTAGGTTTGCGTGTTAGGGTAACTCTATTCCTGACAGATCATTAGTCTGACCTCTGTCCACAATGAGACTCTGCAACCATATTTAAAACCCTCTCATGCGCATTTCTAAAGTGTATATTTCAAGCATTATCAATTTATCTTTACAAGCAAGTGAAGATTCCGAAAAATCTGCTGGAGTACAAAGGGTCGTGCCTGTGGGTCATGAGGCATTTATAATCTATCGTTTCAGTTATGGGGCAGATTAAATCATGACAGACTTACCATAATAATTAAGAATGGTGACAAAAACTAGGGGTGGGGTTAAATACCAGCCACACCCTGTTATAATGAAGTCCCACCCATGCGCTTCCCAACATAACATTTCATTTTGTGATGATGTTTTTTCAGGGATCAAAGAGCTCCTGGTTAAGCCTAGGCTTGGCAGTAAATGTTTAAATTCTACAAGGCTATGTTTTTATTGTTGATCTCGTTTATTATCCACACCTCTCAGTAGATGTTCACATGCTTTCCAAAACAAAATTTGATCCTGTGTTTGTTTTGTATAAAATGCAATCCTATTCTGCAACATTGTACAGACACGTCTTCTGGGGTGAATTAAAGGTGTCAGATCAAAATGTGTTTTGTTTTAGTTTTGAAATAATGGTAGAGACAGAATGAGAGTGTGAGAAAAATGGACAGAGTCAGAGAGAAAGAGTGCTAAACAGACAGAGAGACAGAAGGACAGTGTGTCACAGAGACAGCAACATTCAGTGTGACAGAGGATGTGGGACAGACAGAGTGAGAAAAAGCCACTGAGAAAATGTGACAGAAAGTGACAGAGTAGCCGGCATATACTGAACCGAAGAGAGAACGAGAGAGAGTGCCAAAGAGGCCGCATCGTAAGTGACAAATCGCCATAGTTAAACCAAGTAAGCTGTGTGTGACAGTCAGTTGAGGCATTGAAGACATTCTTTTGCTATCAGGTTTTCTGTAAATGTCCAGAGAGAGATCTCACATTATACAGTGAGAAGTGCTTGAGTTCAAACTTTATCTCCCAACACCTGCCCTCCCCCCCACCTCCGAGGAATGAAGAGGAGTCTAGAATGGAGAGATCGCCATCTACATAGGACTGAGAGATCCCGTGAGACAAATCCGCTTGCCAGGAGACATGCCAGAAATACAGGCAGCTTGATGGAGACAAAACGGGGGAAATAAAAACCCTTCCCACGAAACCTTATGTTCCAACAACTGAGGCAGCGTTCACTTGCCAAAATAGCAATAATCCGTATTAACCAATTCTCAGATCAGTGAGAGGCGGAGAGGACTTTAACTCCTGAGAACTCTAACAAATAGCAATAATCTGTATTAACCTATTCTCAGATCAGTGAGAGGCGGAGAGGACTTTAACTCTTGGGAACTCTAACAAATTGCAATAATCTGTATTAACCTATTCTCAGATCAGTAAGAGGCGGAGAGGACTTTAACTGCTGGGAACTCTAACAAAAAGCAATAATCTGTATTAACCTATTCTCAGATCAGTGAGAGGCGGAGAGGACTTTAACTCTTGGGAACTCTAACAAATTGCAATAATCTGTATTAACCAATTCTCAGATCAGTGAGAGGCGGAGGGGACTTTAACTCCTGGGAACTCTAACAAAAAGCAATAATCTGTATTAACCTATTCTCAGATCAGTGAGAGGCGGAGAGGACTTTAACTCTTGGGAACTCTAACAAATTGCAATAATCCGTATTAACCTATTCTCAGATCAGTGAGAGGCGGAGAGGACTTTAACTCCTGAGAACTCTAACAAATAGCAATAATCTGTATTAACCTATTCTCAGATCAGTGAGAGGCGGAGAGGACTTTAACTCTTGGGAACTCTAACAAATTGCAATAATCTGTATTAACCTATTCTCAGATCAGTAAGAGGCGGAGAGGACTTTAACTCCTGGGAACTCTAACAAAAAGCAATAATCTGTATTAACCTATTCTCAGATCAGTGAGAGGCGGAGAGGACTTTAACTCTTGGGAACTCTAACAAATTGCAATAATCCGTATTAACCTATTCTCAGATCAGTGAGAGGCGGAGAGGACTTTAACTCCTGGGAACTCTAACAAAAAGCAATAATCTGTATTAACCTATTCTCAGATCAGTGAGAGGCGGAGAGGACTTTAACTGCTGGGAACTCTAACAAATAGCAATAATCTGTATTAACCTATTCTCAGATCAGTGAGAGGCGGAGAGGACTTTAACTCTTGGGAACTCTAACAAATTGCAATAATCTGTATTAACCTATTCTCAGATCAGTGAGAGGCGGAGGGGACTTTAACTCCTGGGAACTCTAACAAAAAGCAATAATCTGTATTAACCAATTCTTAGATCAGTGAGAGGCGGAGAGGACTTTAACACCTGGGAACTCTAAAAAATAGCAATAATCCGTATTAACCTATTCTCAGATCAGTGAGAGGCGGAGAGGACTTTAACTCCTGAGAACTCTAACAAAAAGCAATAATCTGTATTAACCAATTCTCAGATCAGTGAGAGGCGGAGGGGACTTTAACTCCTGGGAACTCTAACAAAAAGCAATAATCTGTATTAACCTATTCTCAGATCAGTGAGAGGCGGAGAGGACTTTAACTCTTGGGAACTCTAACAAATTGCAATAATCTGTATTAACCAATTCTCAGATCAGTGAGAGGCGGAGGGACTTTAACTCCTGGGAACTCTAACAAAAAGCAATAATCTGTATTAACCAATTCTTAGATCAGTGAGAGGCGGAGAGGACTTTAACTCCTGGGAACTCTAAAAAATAGCAATAATCCGTATTAACCTATTCTCAGATCAGTGAGAGGCGGAGAGGACTTTAACTCCTGAGAACTCTAACAAAAAGCAATAATCCGTATTAACCTATTCTCAGATCAGTGAGAGGCGGAGGGGACTTTAACTGCTGAGAACTCTAACAAAAAGCAATAAGCTGTATTAACCAATTCTCAGATCAGTGAGAGGCGGAGAGGACTTTAACTCCTGGGAACTCTAACAAAAAGCAATAATCTG